CAGCCTCCCAAAGGCGCGGGATGACAGGCTGAGCCACCGAGCCCGGCTAAAAAAAAAAAAGAATCTTAATTGAAATAAGAAATTCACAGGAGCGAACCCCCAAAGCCAATAAATATATAAACACATGCCAAGTCTCATTAGAATTTAGTTAAAATATTAATATTAGGCAAAATATTAAGATGCCATTTCTTTTTTATATTAAAAAATAAAGTTTATTTAGAAAGAAGATTAGCAAAGAGTAGATTCACTTCTCAAGGGAGAGAAGGGGCCAGACGCCTGGAAGAAACGTAGTCAAGAAGCTGCTTCAAACGGAGATTTGAAAAATTCGTAAGTCTGATAAAGCCAAGAGTTGGTTTTCAAAAGAGCAATTCATATATTGCCGATAACAGTAAAAACTGGCACCGTTGAAACATGTTCATTGCAGTAGAGTTTGGAACAGCTAAGAAATTAGCTATAATCTAATTCTGCTGAAGGTGAATAAACTATAATCTACTCCTTTAATGCATTTCTCTATAGCAATAAAAAACAAAATTAACGCCGGGCTCGGTGGCTCAGCCTGTAATCCCGGCCTTTGGGAGACTAAGGTGAGTGGATTGCCTGAGCCCGCGGGTTCGAGACCTGCCTGGGCAACTTGGCAAGACCTCATCTCTACAATAAATCAAAAACTAGCCAGGCGTGGTAGCGCATGCCTGTAATTCCGGCTACTTGGAAGGCTGAGGCGGAAGGAACGCGGGAGCCCAGCAGGTTGAGGCTGCGGTGGCCAGGAGCGGCCACTGCACTCCAGTCTGGGCGACGGAGTGAGACTCCAACTCAAAAAAATAAAAAATAAATAATCTACCATAAAATTATTTTTCCAGAAAGGACAAGCAGTCACACTGCCCTCAGTCCCACTTCTAAATAGGGTACACATTCTCACTACTAAAAACTGTAAGTGATTATATATGAACTTTTAACACAGTCCCTCAACAGGGTAAAATACATAATGTCAAGAATAAAAGAGACCAAATCTGACCACAGTATGGTGAGAAATGAGCCAGTATTTAATCATACCATAATAATTGAAGCCAAGGGTAGTAATGGGATTTTATTTTAACTTTAAATGGGGCCAAACATAAGCCATTGAAATCAACCACTGTGACCAAGCATTACCAATTATTTCCCTTCTTTTAGAAACAAAACATTTTATACTTCCCTAATCTTAACATCTATTTGGGGGGCGTAGAAGGGGAGGTTGACGTCTCACTCTGTCACCCAGGCTAGAGTGCAGTGGCACAATCATAACTCACCGCAGCCTTGAACTCCTAGGTTCAGGGTCCTTCTACCTCAGCTTCCCGAGTAGCTGGGACTAGACATGTGCCACCAAACCTGGCTAATTTTTTTGTAGAAACTGGGCCTTGCTACGTTGCCCAGCCTGGTCTCGAACTCCTGGGTTCAAGCAGTTTTTCAGTCTCTACCTCCCAGAGTGCTGAGAGTACAGGCATGAGCCACAGCGCCCCTGGCAGTTTCCTAATCTTAATAGAACCATACAAGATAAAAAGAGACTTTGTAAAGTACAGTTATCTGCTTCCATGTTGGCTGCAGGTCTAGTTCTAACCCAAATCCAGAAAAGTGCCCCAGGAGACCATTAACAGCCTCCTGATCACCCTTGAGCTACAAAAATGCCCCACCCCAAGGAGACACAGTTCTTAACCCTCATATCCTAATGCAGTGTTCCTGACTCTTCAAGGCTATCTTCCCAGCCTGCAAGAGCTTTTGGTTGTACAGGTTCCTTCATTTCTAAAGCTGCTGCCATGCCAGGACCCCGCTATCACCACTGGGTCATGTCAATAGCCTCCTACCTGCTCCTCTTATACCCATCCTGCTTTTCCTCAATAAACTCTCCTTAAGCCTATTTCTTCCTGAAACTCTTTGTTTAAGGAACCACTTAACAGCTTTACTTCTTTTCAAATTTTGAGTCCCCCAGCCTGGGCAGCATAGCGAGACACCATCTCTACAAAAGATAAACATTAAAACTAGGAGTGGTGGCATGTGCCAGTGACTTGAAAGGCTAAAGTGGGAGGATCACTTGAGCCAGGAGTTCGAGGCTGCAGTTATGATTGTATCACTGCACTCCGGGCTGGGTGGCCAAGTGAGAACCTATGTCAAAAAAAATCCCAATCTACCAAACCAACAGAAAATCATGAATCTTCAAGGAAACAATACAGTATGAGTCAAGTATTTGTAAGAGACAGCAATGTGAAGTCAAAAGGTGATGACAAAATTAACAGAACCTCTATTTTGTGAACGTTAACACACAGACACATTAAACAAAACTGACAGTGGCCTAGCCAAAATAAAACCTTACTGCTGAAAAGCAAAGCAAGGAAAAGTTAATTTCTTGGTAAATTTATGCCACTTCCTCTAGTCACCCTTGGTGGACAAAAAAGTCCTGGCAGTTTCTCCCTCTGATCCTGAACTGAGTTCATAAGTCTTCTCAGGACAGTGTTTCAGTACACCAAGCATTCTCAACTGGCAGGAAAGATGAAACCTACTTGTTATCTCCAAATTTAGAGATCTTAACCAAAAGAATACTTTTCTTATTTTCTTATTTACTTACCTCTCGCCAAGTGAAAAAGAGAGAAAAAAAATACATGAAAATCTGTTTTAAAAAGACAAATAGAAAATAAAATTACCTAAAATGTTTTCGTTCACAAGAACTTTTGCTAAATACTTTTTTGATATTAATGAAAGTCCCTTGTCAAATTTCCTAAGGTCAGAGGTAACAGGCCTCCTACACAAGTATTACACTAAATAAAACACAAGTGAGCCTCCTGATCATCTTTTCGGAGACTGGCTAATAAAACAAAGGTGGCATGGAGGGAATACTAGCAACTCCCTTAGGAACTTACAAACAGGCTCATAGAGTAAGTACAACTGCTATGTGATGGTTTTGAACTGGAAGTGATTTTCAGTAAGAAGTTGCCACAATGTTGTTATTCCGTAATGTTGCTCAAACTCTGATGATCTGTAATGACATGGAAAACGTCGTTCAAACCAAGTGTCTTGTGTTCAAAATGCCAGCAATATGAACAGAAAGTAGGGCTTTCATCTAAGAATGAGAGCTGTTAACAAGCCTGGTGTCTATAAAGGTGTCACCATATCCCAGTTTTTGCAGAGCAAAACACCACAAAACACTGTCACACAAATAAGAGTTTCACATCTTGCTTTTTTTCCTTAACAAAAACATC